AATGTGCAAATGACTTTTTACAATAATATTGAATAAAAATATTAAAAACAAATTTTCATAGCTGCAAACTTGATTGAATTGATGTTTCTCATGTATTTTATTATTTCAAACTGAATGGTAATACTTCTCAGATGATACGATAATTTTTCGACAAGATAAAGGGATTTAAAGGTTCCTGACATGTAATCGGCGTCAAAATATACCACATTTGACATGATTAACATAAGATACAACGGATTTAATATCCCAAAAACTTATAAAATATACTCCCATATTACCACAATACTTTTTCAAGTCTCCAAAACTGATTTATGATATCAAGTTTCGATAAAATCAATCCTTTTTCATCAAATTATGCATATTTTTTGTCAGTTTAAAATGCTTATAAAATACGAACTATACTAGTTACAAGATTGAGAGTTGCATAAACCTTTATGATTTGCTTAGAAAAACATATCTATACAAAAAACCAATTTTTTTTTAATTTTACAGGTGTTTGACTATAATTTCCTACAGTCCCTTGGTGAGATGCTTGCAGAAGCGGCCAAACCTCCGGATATTCCGCTAAAGTTCCACAAACATCGGAAGATCTTTTTAATCAGCCGTCATAAAAAAATTTGTTTTCCTCAAAACCCAATCAAATCATTCCACAATGACGCGCAATTAAATAATTTGGTGATTACGCGATACAATGATGGGGTCACCCGTACCCCAGCGATAAAACTTTTCTTTCACTTTCTCATCATTTTTTTATTTCCTCATTATGAAACTGCTAATCTGAACATCTGAAGGCGTTTCTATGCTCTATCCAACTGCTGCTGCTCATAACATAGCTTAGAACGACTGTATAATGGGTAATTAATATTATAGATTTCACCCATACGATTTATTAACATAAATTATATAGCTGGTTTAGTTTGTTTGTGGTTTAATTTAAGCACTAGGTGTTGTTTAAATCCTTTAATATCCACCACTAATACATGGTAAGGAAGCTGCTCATTAAAGAAAACCAAAGACGAAGTTACTGATCGTTTATCATTTTTTCTATAGTCGTCTCTACCAAGTTAGCTTATCAACCCTGTGCCATATATATTCACTCAACTTGAGTCTGACTGAATATGTTCCTCCGTCTTCATTTTCAAGACTTATATCTCAATGAAAGCAAAGGAAAACTATTGTCAAATGTTTCAAGTCTACTACTTCTATTATCAAAAAACAAGGGAGAATTATTGCCAAATTTTTTCCGGTTTACTGCCTTTAGTATCAAAAAACAAGGGAGAACTATTGTCAAATATTTTCCGGTCTACTGCATTTATTATCAAAAAACATGGGAGAACTATTGTCAAATTTTTTCCGGTCTACTGCCTTTATTATCAAAAAACGGGATAGGTATTATTGACTTTTCGTTGTTAAAATGCGCATTAAACGTTTACGGAGCATGTTATCTCGGTTTAGATGTTTATGATCTTATGAAGATGATACTAGTGCAAATTCATCTGTTGATGGTGTTACTACGTTTAAAATATTCTGGGTTAAGGTAAGTAGCATGCATCTTGTAGATATTTTAAATGCAAATAAAGTTTCAGTTACTACAAAATAATTATCGTCTTTCATAATTTGCATCAACCATTGCTACTCTAATTGTTTACATGTGAGTCAATCAAGCCAATCTGAATAAGTAAAATATATTTACTTTTCTGATAAGGAATGATGAACCTAAAATTGAAAAAGATAATTAAGTTACGTTCTCAATTCGACAGATGACAAAATTGGACTTGAGATAATACTTTGGAAATTAAGATCATATCGATCCCAAACCACTTTCATATTTAAACAAGTTATATGTTTGGCCATTTTTTTAATGATTTTATTATTCTAATGAAAAAATAATGTGGCCATTCTTAATGGCATCAATTACCTCGGGAATGTTCTTACTTGGCAACTCTCGTCTAAATTGGAGATGTGCTGGCCATTTCCTGATCGAGATTCCCAAGCCGACATGTCTGAGAACGACATGTTCGGCGTCTCGTTCAACTTATTTGAAGGAGGATCACTGAACTTCTTGTGTCTCTGTATCAGTGATAATTGCCCTTGTTTCGTCTATTAAAAAGCAACTGTTAAATAATTATTAATGTACCAACAATGTTTAACATACTGATCAATAGAAGAATGGTCTCCCTCAAATCCTGTCTTTGGATGTCATTGCTTTGATGTTGTCACCCTCTTTCGCTTGATAGCCGGGGGATTTTTGGTCACTTTATATGAAGGACCTTTCACTAAATTTGAATAACTGGTATGAAGAATTTGCAACGTCTCTAACTACATCTTTACCTCGTCCTTCCTCAACACTCTTGTGTCTCTCAGCAAAATACTCAAGGTTGGAGCTGAGAGAACCTCCATTCCTTTCTTCGTACTCCTGCAAAAAACCCTCACCAGCTTCTATAAAAGAATGAGTACAGTAATGCCACAAGTTTTTAAAATCCCATCAACTTACCTGTCCCCGAGATCACGTAATGGGCACGGTTGTACCCAACTACCTTTCTCACAACCGCACAAACTACATGGGCTTCCGATTCCCGGCCGATCTTTTCCAATAAAGCTTTTAACTTGAAGGAGTTTCAGTTCTTCCCCGCCGGATTTACACACATTCTAATATTTAAATTAACCAATCAAAATCACGAAATTTTTTCATAAAAAAAAAGTGTAAAAAAAAAGTGTAGGAGCTCTTCGTTTCACACTTTTTTTTTACACTTTTTCACACATATTGAGTTTTAAAAACACGAAATATCATGCTTTAATTTTTTGTATTCATGGCAAAACCCTTTCAAAATTCTTCTCATAACGATTCGTTGTTCTTTTTCCTCTGGAGTATTTGCTTCTAACAAAGCAGGAGTATGCTCTTGTCGAAGCACAATACCTTCCTCATCTTTGCTGTCACTTTCGCCATTAACAGAAGAAGCAGCTTTCTCCGTAACCCAACTATGTTATTGCCCTGTGATGTCTCGTGTTCAATTAACCTTTTCTTGTGTCATAACTACAACGTATTCCATGTTACTATATAACTCATTATGAAGTTACGAAATCAGGAACAACTTCATTGGCTCGGATCTTTAAAAATAAGCGTCTTTCTAAAAAGTGTGAAATTTTTTTTTATTTGGGGGCTCAGTTCTTGCAAAGTGTCAAATGCATTTCATTGGTTCTTAATTATTTCACCGAATGTGTAAAAAAAATGTGTAAATCCGGCGGGGAAGAACTGAAACCCCTTATTATAATCCGTTCTCTTGCGGAAGCGATAACCCAGTTTATTTTGCTTCTTAGGAGTCAACAATTGTTCGGAATGTTCATAATAAGAATTCCGATGCTCCCTCTCTTCTTTGGTCATGTGGGTAAAATCATTAGCTGCAGCATTAGCATCTTTACCATATATTGATCGGTTAAAATTACTATGTAAATTTTTTAAGTAACCAAAACCTACTCGGGTTTAGTAGCTTAATTTTACGCAGGTACGTATAGTAAAACGAAACCGTCTAGGCATTACCTTAAAACTAAGCGAACCACTTTGAACTCGTCTGGCGAGATCATTCACATTCTTTTAAACGATTTGTAGGTTCCTGCATTGCTTTTAAAATAATTGCTTTCTCCTTACGAAGCGTCTCTGAATAGAAAATTGTCGACATTTTAAATTTACCACTGCATGAAATAACAAATTTTGGTTTTTTAAAAAAACCAATTAAGGACTTAAAACAATAAAAATTGACAATTATCATTTATCATTTAAAAAAGTGTTTTGTTAACATATGGTGTTGGTATATTTACTTTTTAGGAGTATCGAAGTTAAAGCATAAGAGAGCACTATAATTTTTAACAACTTAAGTTACGGTATTGTATTTTAGACCATTTGATTTTTTACCTAAGCCAGCGATATATTCAATGCGGGGAAAGGGTAAACACCCCAAGCGGAAGTAAAGGATCCCCTCAAAAGCCGCTGGGAGCTTCAGCCGTTCAGGCGGAGAGTTACCAGCGGACAAGGGCCAGTGGAGCCCTCACCACCGTTGAGATTTTTGTTTATTTCTAAAAATAAAAATAGGCCAATTCGGCTGACTTTTATGGAAGTCGTATTTTAAGCATTTTTTTTTTTTAGAACTTGTTTTAAGATTTAAATAGCAGTGGTTTTTATTTTAATATGATATACATTATACTATGGGTCGCCTTATCCTTCTCTTGGTCAGCATCCTACAGCTGTTGGCCTTGATTAAAAACCTACCCTGTCTGAGACCAAACACTGATCTCAGGTACTTTGAATAAATCATTTTGACTAAGAAACACCTGTATCAAACGGTTTCCTGCATAATTTAATGCTTACCGCAGCCTAGATACGACGGACGTGTATGTCACCCAACAAAGAAACAGACCTATAATTACAAGGGGTTACTTTTCATAGATGTTAGTGATGAAATTTAGTTTCAGTGTTACAGTGATGATACCTGAGTATATGATTTAATGTTTCTCTTTTCACAACGTAACCTATTCCATTCGGATGTTAGTAACTTTTAATCGATTGACCCATAACGTTGCATAGTTACCACCGCTGATGATTGGCATTTAATTTTGCTTAAATATAAAAGAGGAACGTAAGAAAATAGTTATAACACTGCTAAACGTTTATGCTTACATTGGCATGAATGTCTGCTAGCGCCTCGCGCAACTGGGCAAGCATCAAATAATAGCTACCTTTTTATAAAGGAGATTAGTAGAGGAAGTTACTTGTAAGAATTCGTTACCTTTTCTTTTCTTGTAATTCAACATGGAAAAGAGTGTTTGAAAAGAAAAGAAAAATAAAAACAGGTTTAAAAAACATTTTTTTACGCCACTGATTTCATGAAGTAAACAAATAAACCTCTAACTTCAGACGTGTGATGATCTTCATAAATGATTTGTTTTTACAAAAAGGTTTCATTTTACTCTTATTTTGCGCTTTCTTCCACTGATTAAACATTATAATGCAACCTACAAAGCGGATTTATAAAAAGCGTAAAGTCACTGTTCCGCCTGGAAGGTCTAATAGTCAGATCAACTTTCGAGTCGAAACGGACATTGACATACCCAAATGCCCTCTTTGCGATAATATTTTTTTGATACCATCAGAAATTTAAAAAATCATTTGATAACACAGCACCGCGTTACGAATGAAGCCGTAAACGAACTCTTGGCGCATTACTACCCAGAAGGTGTATTGGAAACAGAAGGTTATTCGGACATTGATATCCCAGACAACTCAGAACTGTATGGCGATTCTAGAAATGGAAGTCCCAGTGCCAGTAGTGACGATGATGACAATCAACATACAGCCGATGAAGAAGAACTCGACGAAATGTATCAGACATTGCAAGATCAAATGTCTTTTGCTGTTAATACTTCAACGTCCGATGTTGAGGTCGAAGTTGATCAAATTACTACAAGTAACATTTGGGATAGATATGCTTCTAGCACCCATCCCTTTTGTAATCTAAAAACAATGATTCTTCATGTTCTGGTGGATGGTGATAATGACATGATTTCGCGTAGAATTCTAAAAAAAGATTATGTTTGCTATTACCTTACTTTTCAAAGTAAAGGAAAAAGCTGATGACGACGGTGTATCTTTTACGCTGCCCAAGTTAGATAACATCTTAAACTATCAATGTCGACAAAAAACCAAAATGCCAATTTTTCCATCCAAGCTGGTGGATCTTTCATTAGACAATAATGAATCAGTCACAGCTTGTCTGAATCTACCATCAGAACATGTTAGACTTTTAATGGCCAACCCAAAGCAGTCATCATTGATTTCTTCAGTACCTGATCGTAGCGATGATATGTTAGACCGATTGGAACAAGGGGAAAAATGGAGGACTCACGATTATTTCCAGCAACCTATGTGGACAGTGAGGGGAGTTGATTATTGGAAAGGTGACTGGGTACGCCCATTAGACAAGCCAATGAATGTCAACTTCTTGATAAAGTCTTTTCATAGCTGCAATAAAAAGATGTATGCAAGGGGGCATTTAACCCTACAAGCACACGACAGTCAAAAGATTGGTGTCGAACTCAATGAAACCGATTTGATCGTAACGGATATTTTGAATAAGCTTCCTTGTCGTTTGAATCCTTATCTATGCTGCAGTATCAGTCCAACAGCGGTATACCCTTTGACTAATGAACATGCTATTTTAATCCAAGGTGTAAATCAATGGAAGAAACGCAAACCCCAATGTACAGAAGAGTTTTATAAAGTAAAAATAGCTCCTGTTATTATCTTTACAGATGATACCTCTGGAAATACATCTAAACAGTTCAATGGGTATGAAAGCTGGTCAATGAAATTCGCTGCACTGGATTTTGAAGAAAGATCCTCAAATGGCAATATTCATTTTATATCTGCTATTCCTAAAAAAAACGGTGTGAGCGGCATTTCTTTGTTACCAGTTATTGTTGACGACTTGAAATCACTAGAAAGCGGGATGATTATGTATTCGGCTGAAGAAGACGAAAACATTGTTGTCGTAGCCCCAGTCCTTTGGATCGAAGCCGACACACCTTGCCATTCCGAGTTATGCGGACTTTTATCACCTACTTGCTTGTATCCCTGCCGAAAGTGCTATATTCTTCTTAGAAAAGGTATCGCAAGTCAAAAGGGTGTAGATTATTTTGTCTTGCCACACGCTGAAAGAAATCGTGGCCATTATGTCGTGGCCTCATCGGATTGTAGAAGATTATCTATTATACAGAATGCACCTACCACTGGGACGAGTCTCTCTGCTAAAGACCTATGCTACAAAGATAGGAAAAAAGACAGACCGCTTGAATTACAATCCTATGATCGATCAAAAGATACTACTGTCGAAGTTCTTCATGCCATTTTACTTGGCATTAGTAAATATATGATAGTCGATCTTGTAAAAATAGTTTTAAAAAATCGCTCTGCTATTCTAGATAGGCTCTCAGATAAACTTAAACAATACCAAGAAGAATGTGTTGGATTATCTCGAAAATTCACAAGACAGTTGCGACATTGTGGTTCTTTTTTGGGTAGAGATTTCAAAATCCTAATCCAAATTCTTCCTATTGTACTTTTGTCGGATTTTTCTAACGAGGAAATATTAAAGAATATTACGGTTCTGTTTGTTCATATCGGAAAACTATGTTCTTTGCTCTTCGAACGAGAAATGAAAAGTAACTTTAACGAGTATATAGCAACAGTGGGTAGAGCAATTAAGGAGTTTATAAGTGCACTTCACTATTACGACTTAAATAATGATATTCCTGGTCATAATGCTTATACTGGAAAGGTGAAGATTCATCTTCTTACCCATGTTCCTCAAGAGATCCGTCGATTTGGAACAGTATTACAATACGGGACCGAAAAGGGAGAACAATTCAACAAGCATATTAGGGAGCATATAACATTTACCAATAAGCTTAATCCTTCTCGGGATATCGGGTTAAAGTTTGGTAAACAGTCTATGATGCGTCATGTTCTTGAAGGTGGTTCATGGTTGAATGAAAACAAAATTAGAGAAAAGGCAGGAGACGATGTAATCTCATTTATTCAACCCAATGAAGATAGAGTATATTTGGATCTTTTGGGTGGCTCCAGAGACTTTATCGATAACACCGACCCTAGTTACAAAAAGATTGGCGAAGGCTCTTTTGCTTTATTCAGAAATACCAATAATGACAATAGTTCTTTACAAGTTAATCAACAGAAACCTTTCGTTGGCGTAGTATGTGGGCCAAACGTGTTATCTGGCGAATGTTCTTGTAACAATTTCGAAAGAGGTTGCATCCCTTTGAACTTTAGTCAAGACCAAGTGTTAGTTCCACTGAATCAACTAGAAGTTGAGACAGTATTGAACGTATATAGTCGAAGTGATGGAACATAAATCATCAATCTTTTCAAATTTGGCTCTTATTGGGCAATGAAAAACTTATTTTCATAAAGTATTTTGTATTACACGAATTTCTTTTTAAAATAAAATGTTTACGATAAGTTCTCTTTCAGTTACACACAAATCTCTATTAAAAACTGCTTGCATCACTCTATGCCTTCAAAGGAAGGTCTATTTTTTCAAAATAGAAATTACACAAAGTATTTATATTCAAGCCAATCAACAGCCTTAAAACATTTTCGATTTCCAAATTTGAGCCTAAAAATTAACGGTGGTGATGGATCAGGGCGAAAATACAAGCAGGCAGCATTTTTAGTCATAATGTATGGGAGTTTTATTGCAGGCGTCATTTTATGACAGCACATTAAATTTTTCAATAAATTTGTCCGACTGTTTCTGAGTTAGACAAATGGGGTGATAAAAGTAATGGGACTGTGGTTCCTATTACGTGTGTAACCCACCCCAAATTTGTGGGGTTAAGTGAGCAAATAACTGTAAGATCACAGCGACTCTCATTAAAAGACTAGCATGGAAAGGTATGCCAAGAAAACAATGGATCTTCAATTTAACGTAATCACCGCTTGGAAAAGCAGCTGGCGTAGACTTCCGAACAAATTGTGTATTTATGGATGAGGCCGGCTAAATGCTCATAAAATCATAAGTAAGCATACTCAGTTAAGGGAATACCTACAATTATTCCTGTGCCAACTCAAAAGGGTGAAAACCTCAGCATTATTAGCTGAGTATATCACCTTCGGTACGATCAATTTTTCGAAGGTGAGTCCTTAAAATCGGCTGATGTACCCAAAATTGAGAAAGAGTTCCCTTTGCCAGCTAGAAAAAAAAGAAGAAAAGCTAAAGCTGATGATAAGAAGAGTGTAAATCCTTGAAAACCTACAACTGCGTATCATGTCGTAACTTTCGTTCGAAACGTCATGGATATTCTATACAGCCACAACAGGCATGGATTTTATATCGTCATGAATGATCGCGGAATCCATCATTCCAATTATGTTGTTGATGCCATCAAAAATGGAGTCTTTAAAACCTTTATTTATGCCCCCCCCCCTATTCCCCATTTTTGAATCCTATTGAGGAGTGCTGGTTCAAGATCAAGAAGCACATCAAAAGAAATCCGCTTTCCACTTTGGACACTTTAACCCCAAGAATTAAGGCAGCCTGTGAGACTATCACTATGGAAGATTGTAATGGTTGGATAAGACACTCTGAAACGTAATGGGAAAAAATGCCTTAATACAGAATCAAAACTAGTTTAAACTTTGACTTGTCTGGATTTTTATTATCATATTTCTGAAAATAGTTTCCCTTTGTCTGAATAATTTTTTACGTTTGTCTGAAAATATTTTTTTTTAGCCTGAATTTTTTTTTTGAGCCTGTCTGAAAATAATTTTCAGTTGTCTAAATTTAAAGTGATAATGAGGACTTATTTGCAGGTCGCTTATTTGAGTCCCAGCCACAGGTCCCCAGCTATTTCGGGACTTCAGCCAAATAAGGTCAACAGGATAAATAAATAAAAAAGGCAATTTTGATTCTTGCATTTGACATTAATCTCGGTATTCTTCACTACTTTGGCAGAACACCGATGTATATGGTTTTAAAACAGTATAAAAGACCCTTTTAATTTTGTAAAAATAAAATAAAAAGTATCTATTCTTTAATAATATCTCTTTTTAATCGATGTATCGTGCTCAAAATTCAACCAACTGTTCCTCTG